TCTTTTGAAAAGTTTCTGTTCATGTCCTTTGCCCACTTTTTGATAGGGTCGTTTGATTTTATATAGACTTTTTATTATGAAAAATTTCAAAAGTCACAGAAACTAGAATAATTAACCCTTATGTATTAATACTTATCATCCACTTTCAATAATGATCAACATGTTACCTCTCTTGAAAAACCAGTTTTGAATTTGAGTCTGATGTTATTTATCCTCCTTCACAGAGCTGTTCAGAACCAATATCTTGGAGTGCATTTCCCAGGTAAAGAAATGTAGGAATAAAAAGAGAAGGACATAACATGAGAAACAAAGGTAGGCTGTCAATAAATGCTTAAAATATAGAAGATTTGCTCAAGTTGTTTTTACAATGGTCTGGAAAACACAGTCTTGTTCTGAAAGGACACTGTTCCTTTAAATTGCTTACTGATCCCACCCAGATCTTGCACCCTGGCCAAATGCCTGACCACTCTTGCTTTAACTTAGTCTAATAAACATGAATAAAAAAGATTGCAAAAGATCCAAAAGCAAAGGCAAATTTTATTTCTTACAGAATAGAACAATATCAAATAGCTAACTTCATCCCCAACAATTGTCTTTGCTGTTGGCATTTACACAACCAGTCTTCAATTCCTGTTTGACAAACATTAGAAGGTAAGATGTAACTGCTTTTTCTAGTCACTTGAAATCAGATAGAACTATCTAGGAACTGTGGAAGACTGAATGGCTTACATACTTATGTGAAAAAAGCTTGTCAAATTTTTTTTATCCTCTGCCATTACTTTAAATCAATTATTAGAAAATATGAATATTATTAAAGTGTACAAATTTAAAATTTATTTTAAAGTTTCTTTTTAATTTACAGTCTACTATATAGCATTACAATGATGTTAATATCTTTTGGGACATCTTTTTCTTAATTTGGAATAAGTTTTTACAACTCAGGATTAATGATAGAATACTTTATAACTTTGCTAGTTTAGCAATTTGATAAAGTCTTTAATCATTCTATCTTCCTATAGAAATAAATGGGAAACAAACAATGTGAATAAAATTGGTAAACTGCTAAAATATAATTTCATTTTTGAAAAATCATAAAATAGAAAGTATGTTGGATTTATTGATTCTAATATTTACTTAAAATAAATTTTAGGCAAAAAAGCAAAAATATGGCATTTGGTTAAAGTCATCATTATTTCTGCATTTATAAAACTTAACCTACAGTAAACATCGAGGTTTACATTTCTTTCACTTAAGTAATGGCATTTTTTACCTCTGAAAGCTGTTTTGCTTGTATGTGACATAGGAAAGAGAGAAAGGTAAGAATTATTAAAAACTGAGGCAAAAATAAAACATGGTAAAAGTGATTAGAAATGGGTGGGCTCTCAAGATGCTAAACTAATAAAGAAGAAAGAGATTTCAGGAAGGCAGCAGAACTACAAAACTAGAGAAATGAAAGTAGAAAGGTATGAGTGTCCTCTGGCTACTATTGGAAAACAGAAAGGAATAGCAAGACACTGGTTTTGGAGGGCTAGATAAAAATTGTCATAGCAAATAATAGTAAAATATGAGATATTGTGATTATTGCTAATGATTAAGTGATGTTTGTGAACTCATATATATAGGGGTTTAGGTATGAATTCATGATTATATGGCAAGAAAACTGTATGAGCAGGTGCTTGGTTTGGGAAAAAGATAAGTCTTTATCTAAAGCCAGCATTTCGAAAGGTGAATCATTCTACAAATGAGAAGAAAGTGTTTTCCTTGTCAGGATCCTGTATGGGATTCACCTTCTTTAGGTTCTTGAACAGTTGCTTGATCATGTTGCTTGAAAAATTTTGTTTGTTCTCAATGAAATTCAATAGTTTTATTTCCAGAACTTCTGAGATGTTCTTTATTATATGAACTCAACCAAAAAGAAAAGTTACATGTAACACCAGGAATATGGTGTTATTCCTTTTCCCCTTTGAAAATGGAATAGCAGCTGTGTTCTTCTACATAGACTTATCTTAAAGTCTAATTTTCAGACTTAAAGTTGTATATCCTTCTGTATTCTCCTTGGTTAGCGAGGGGATAACTTGAGGAGGGATGTCTTTGGTGTCCTTCTATTTCCTTAGCATACTTCTTGGTTTGTTTTTAATACCCAGCTGTCTTTACGTTTTCGTATACCTGGTCTGAAGATCAGTTGGCATTTGGCCAATTGCACTTGATGCACTTGCTAGCTGGAATGTTTGGTCCTACTGATCCAAAGTTCTCTTAAACTTCCAGCTGGATGATGCTATTTGAGGAGCAGACTATGGCATGAAGCTATCCATTGGTCCACCCCCAACCCAACAGCTTTGTTTCCCTTTGGGGTTTATCCATCTGGCATGTATGAAAAAAGTCAGTCTCCCATCTCACTCCTCACTGCCTTTGCATATATTTCCACGCTCTATTCAGAGCCTGGAAAAATCATGCTCATGATCTCCCAATTCCCAGTCCTTGAAGGCAAGGTGCCAAAGAAGGAAAATGTGATTCCTTTTCCAGAACTCCTGAAGTCAATAAAGTTTAAGCAGGCAAGCATTTTCAAACCATGCTGAATATTGGTTCAAAATAAGCTTTCTTGTTCCCATTCTCTTGGGCATACTGAGGTAGCAACACATGGGCATGAGTCTTCTCTTTACAGGGAAGTCTGTGTGTTTGAAAGTAATTTGGGGTGTAGATGGGCATACTAACTGCTTGTGACTGAGGATTTTAATACAGAATTAGCTTTTTATATTGTTACTATGCTCAGAAAAATAGTTTTTCAGGGATGTTCAGAAAGGGTGCTTCTTGACTTCAAGTTCTATCTTTGTTCATTAATTCTTCCAGCTAATAATGGAAGAACAGTGTTGCTTTTAAGCAAATCTGTTGTTTTTGCTCTCACACTCCTTTCATTCATTGGATATGAAGCTGCAGTCCAGTTTGGATTCCTGGTGGAGAAAAAGTTTCCAAAGCAGGAGTAGAAAAGAGAAATGGGATTCTATGGAAACAGAAGGGCAATTTAATTTTTGCCTTTACCTCTGAACTCACTGAAGTATGTGTGTAGTGTTCAGACTGAAATGGTCCATGGTGGTTAGCTACAATTCTGCAAAATATTGGATTTGTCAGCAATCAGTTGTAATGAAAATGAATGAAATGACCATGTAGCAATCTGAATTCACCCGAAAGAATCTGCAAATTCCAAAGCAGACTCTGTGATTGAATCACAGTCGCCAAATAGAGTGGGATTGAAATGTTTTTAAATGCTTCTCCTCATTCTGTGCTCCTGATAATATAATTGGAAATTAAGGATCCTTGAATACATTTCTTTGAATATATCAAAATATTAGCTAATAAATGTTTGGTTATGGTGTCATGATTTATTTGGATTAGGAACTTTTAAAATTTCAATGTGAATATTTTTCTAGAAATAGGAATGAAAACCCCTTTCTCTAATCACACGATATTTTCAAATCTGCTGGCTTGAAATTAAAAAAGAGCAAACATTATATCTTATTAAAGTATTTATAACTTATGTTTCTATTAAAGGTGCTACAAGACAGATGATTTTTCACCGTCTACCATAATGTGGAACAGACATTTTGTCTTCTGTCTCCTGCTTTTGCCAGCTTTTATGAGTCAAACAGCATATGGACAAAGAAAGAAAGGACCAAAGCCAAATTTACTTGCAAGGAAATATGACCTCCAGGGTAAAAGAAAAAAGTACCATTTTTGTTTTTAATTATTAGTTTTAGCTTGTTAAAACCCTGAAGTGAATTTTTCTAAATAGCATTTGATGTAAATAGCAAACCACATTTATATGTGATGTTCTATTTTGATAAAATTGTGATATTATAATACACCTTACATACTTATATATAGCACATCTCAGTTTTTAGAGCACTTGTGCATTTATTATGTCATTTGAGCCTCACAGTAACCTGTAAAATAGGCAGGACAGACATTGCCACCCATATTTTAAAGAAATTGAGACCCAGAGAGGTTAAGTGGCACACTAAATATGACAGGAAAATTAACTAGTAAGATGCAGAGCTAGGACTGAAACTCAAGTTCTCTGTGTTTGTTACTCTTGCTACAATGCGTGTAGTTATTTTCACCCTTGATTTCAAGAAAGTTAAAAAAATCAAATTAACAACAACAAAAAACCAAAGTGGATCCTCACCAATACGACATACAATCTGAGAATTAGAATATTATTTGCTTCTAGACAACTTGACAATGTTGCCCAATGTTGTTGGATTTTAAAAACATTACTCACCCTCTTTTTCTCCCACTTTAAATGGGTTTATCATTGAGAAGATGCTCAGAATATATAGTATTGTGTGTATTTGTTTGCTTTTAATTTGCATGATTTTACAAGGGGAAAAGAATTTATAGACTCGGAAAGAGATTTAGTTCTTTACAATTTAGGCCTTATCTCCAAGGTGTCTCTCTCTTACTTACCTCACTCAAAACCAAGCAATACTCAACACACCACCTCAGGGCTTTCCTTATGCAAAGTTGTTTCATGAGCAGGGACAATTATTTTGCTTAACCTATTTGTTCTATTTCAGACTCCGTTTGCTTCATAGATATTGTCTTCATCGTGGACAGCTCTGAAAGTTCTAAAATTGTTCTCTTTGATAAACAGAAAGATTTTGTGGATAGCTTGAGTGACAAGATTTTCCAAATGACTCCGGGTCGGTCTTTGAAATATGACATCAAACTGGCAGCCCTTCAGTTTAGCAGCTCTGTTCAAATCGATCCAACTTTTTCTTCTTGGAAGGACCTTCAGACTTTTAAGCAGAGGACCAAGTCTATGAATTTAATTGGGCAAGGTACCTTCTCTTATTATGCCATCTCCAATGCCACTAGACTACTTAAGAGAGAAGGGCGTAAGGGTGGTGTGAAAGTGGCTTTGCTGATGACTGATGGCATCGACCATCCAAAGAATCCAGATGTTCGAAGTATTTCTGAAGATGCCAGGATTTCAGGAATATCATTTATCACCATTGGACTTTCCGATGTAGTCAATGAAGCCAAACTTCGTTTGATATCTGGGGATTCATCCAGTGAACCCATTCTACTGTTGAGTGATCCGGCCCTTGCAGATAAAATTCACGATCACCTGGTAGGTACCCAATGGATTGGTTATATATTTCTCATAATAATATTGGTATTTGGGTTATAAATTCTATAAGGAAAGATACAGATCAAAAAACAAAAACAAAAAAAAAAAAAAGAAAAATAGAATTCACCTTGGAAATAGAAAGAGGAATCTTTCTGTAGTCTCTTTCTACTTCCTTGATAGTTTACAGTAGACAAACTGGGAAAGTACCAGGCTCATTCCCTGGAATTGCATTCCTATCTTTGTATGGAGCCAATGCTGAGGGTTTTGGAAGGATTACTTTCCAAGCATACACCTTGGGCTCCTGTTTATACATTCTAAGATCATGAACATGCTGACTTATAGTCAATTTGTGCTCAACTTTTGATTTACTGTATTTGTATTAAGTTGATCTTTTCCCATTTCGTATCTGTAGAAATATTTCTGACTTTTTGTCTCACCTATTGTCACATTACAGTACTCAAGAAAAGTTCATAGACTTCCAATTCTTTAAATCGTCTCCTTGTTTCTTAGATGTTAACAAGCTCATCCAATTTAAAATCATCTGCAACCTGCAGTCAACCAACAGTCTCTCCTATCACATCAGTGAGCCCCACTTTGGTCTGATTAGCTTTTCTTTATTGGTTGCTGAGCTGTGTGTGAGGACCTTTCCTTGCTATGTTGGAAAACACAAGGCAAAATAATCAAAATGAAATCCTTCTTCACAGCATTGGTTTGTTTGATAAGTGTTAAAAATGGATTTTCTTTAAAATACTGATTGCTTCGACTTCCTGAGAAGGCAAGGCAAATGTGTCCTTTAGGTACTGAGCATTTCATATGGCTGTTTTCTATAGGTTGCAAAGAAAAGTCAAGCCCTATGTCTAAGATTATTTTGCTCCTTTTGTCCTTTCCTCCAATCCTTTTCCCAATATTACTCTTATCTCTTTACTCTCAGTTGTTTTCAGCATGAGACCTGAGTATCTCTTATCTAAATAATAGCTATCGTGTATCGAGTGCTCTTTATGTATTAGGCATTGCTCTGAGCACTTTGTATATTTTATTTTATTCAATGGTTGACACAATCTTACAATGTAGGTAATACTATTATCCCCAATTTATAGTTGAAAATTTAAGGCCAGCAAAGACTCCAGAATCTGCATGCTTAACCCTATAAAGATATACTGAGAGGGGAAATAGTAACTATTTTTTTAAGTTTCTCTCAATCAGAACTGTGCTGAAACTGGTTAGCAACAACCCTCCTCCCAAGTTACTATTGTTTCTAGCTTTTCTCCTTGGGGATTGAGGATAGATGGGAGAGTCCTGTCTAGACCAGAGATGGAGAGGGCGAGCCCAGCCTCGTGGTGCTTGAGGTGAGTGCTTACTCTGAGCAGCTCTTTTGCATGAAAGGGACACTTGTAGTGGTGCCTGGCTAACACCTAGCCCTGCCTGTGCCATGGTGTAAGGAGTCCTCACCACTGGACTTAAGACAGAAGTTTCTAGCATGTGCAGGAGAGAATCCTGGGGACGTGAGTGGGCTCTTTCTTCTCTGTCTTCACCCTGAGTGTGAGAAGAGCTGATTGTAGAAAGGTGTGGGGCAGGCAGCTCCTTGTTTGGCCAAATGTGTAGGCTCAGGATGTTCGTATGCCCTCCAGACACACCCTTGCTGAGAGCTGAGGCTCTTGATGGTAGACTGGAAGCAGGACTGTTTGTCTGTTTCTGGGGTAACCAGAAAATGACCAACACTGCTCTTCCTTAGCATCCCGTGATTTCAGCTTGTTTGCTTAGCATCCCGTGATTTCAGCTTGTTTGTTCAGATGGAAGCTCAGTGAATAAGCCACTTCTTAGAAGAAGGTGCTGCTTTCCAAACACTTCCGAGATCTTATTAGGCTCTTTAAAAAATGGTATACTAAGTTTCAGTGTTTCAAATTGCCACCATGTAGGAGGCAGAACTTGAATCTTGATGAAATCATTGGAAAATTCCTCATCTAATCCATCTCTATTACATTTTTAGTTGAATTTTTTAAATTTTATTTTGAAATAACTATATAGTTGACTTTTAAATAAGTTAATTAGATATAATTTCAGTGTAAAACTGCATCTACTTAAAGTGCACAGTTTCATGAGCTTTGGCAGATGTATGCACGCATGAAACCATCCTAATTGTATGCAGCAATTAGGATAGAGAGCATTTCTATCACCCCCAAGGGTTTCCTCATGCCTCTTTGTAATATATCCCTCCTTTGCTCCTGAGTTACTTACCTGACTTGTTATTCTAAATTCGTGTACACTTTCTAGAATTTTATATGCACAAACTCATATAGTGTGTACTCTTTTAGTGTCAGGCTTCTTTTACCCAGCATAATTGATTTTGAAATTCATCTGGGTTGTGTTTTTTTTTCTTTTTGTATCAGAAGTTTATCCATGTTTATTGCAGAATAGACTTACTTGAATGCAATAGATATGATTGTGCAGAATGAATAGATTTTGCAAGAGCCAAGACAAATCAAGAAATCATTGCACATTCCTTGACACCTCTAGTAGAAAGTATTATGTAAGAATCCTATGAAAACGTTTTTTTCTGAATTACCCGAGAGAGACCTAAAGATTCCAAATCAAAGAGGATATATAAAATATTTTTATTATTATTTTATTATGATTTATATAACCGTATTGAAAACTAAGAAACAAATTCAACCCAATGTCCTGGATATATTACTCAATCCTCTAGAAGAATGAGAGAAAGAATGTGAAAATTTAAGAAATATTTTTTTCCTCTATCATCTCTGATGTTGAATTTTTAAAAAGCCTTTCTGGAAATAAAGGTTGTGACAAATTTGTCTCTTTTTCTGAACAATCTTTAGAAAAATATAAGTTTAAGGCATCCCTTCCCTCACATACCAAGAAGGGAATAACTTGATAATTTCTGTATCATCTTTAGAATCCTATGCTTTATTTGTTTATTAGTTATGATCAACTTCCTAGTTTTTCAAGACTTCCTTTGTTTAGAGCCTTATTTCTGTTTTCTGTTTCGGATTTTATAGAGGCTATTTTGTTACTATATTAAGCTGCAAATTTTTTTGTCATAGAATTTGTTACCCTTGTCTACCAAGTGCTTTACTATCATCCCATTTTCTGTGACGCTGACAACTTTGTCCATTCCTCACATTTCCTCTGTCCACTTTTTGCAGCCTTCATCTCATACTTGCTCACAAAATTGGCGGTTCCATTTTAACCTTCTCCTTTCACATAGATACCATCATAAAAATCTGAATCCATTAATAAAATCCTGAATGCATCTTCTTTTGCTCTAGTGAGGGCCTTTCCCTATTTATTCTTTTCGTGGAAAGTCAAGCATCCCCCTAGACCGTAATTCAACGTGTCCTGCCTGGCTTTGACCGTGTTCCCCCAGCCGTTCCCCTCCGCCTGCTTCCCTGCCTAAGTGGAAGCCCTCACCACTTCCCAAGGTCTCCAGGTCTGTGCACATGGGCCCTTCTGGCCATTCCCTTTAAATGTCCCTCCTCTCTGCTTCCTTTGTCTTATTGCCCACACTCATCTTTATGATTTTTTTTCCTCGTAAACTTTGACATACAGAACAGCATACCATCAATGAATTGGTCCTTTGCATTCCTCTCTTTAAAATCATCCAGAAAGTCCACCTATTCCAGAAAACCATCTTATTACCAACTCTTTCCCTCTTCCCCCAGGCGAGGACCTCCTTCCTACACTGTTTGTTGTGTGTTGTCCTCTGTCCCCGGGGCTTATAAGCTATAAGTGCCCTTAGGGATGGGGCTTTGTTCTTTGTTTGAAACAGTCTTAGCTATTGTGTAGTTTTGAGTCCATTTTTGTTTCCATAGAAATATAAATTCCAGCAAACACAAAAATCAAATGAGTTCTAAAAATAATTGGTTTTTTTGTGTTGTTATGGTTGTAAGCCTTATGACACATATTTTTAAAGAGCAACGCAGCAAAGAAGAAATTGAGTTTTCAAAGGAAGGGCTGAAAAATACGTGTAGAATTACACACCAGGCACAGTACGAGCTAACTTCATGAATTTAAAAAACTGATTAGGATATTGCTTATTGTAAAAAGGTTGTAAAGTGACAAAAATTTGCATTTTCCTTTATATTTATTAGTACTTGTTTTTAAATATTGAAATTTGACTTGAATTATTAGTTGTTTTATTGCCTCTCTTGAACTCCTTTTGGATTCCTTTTCCCTTTCTCCCTCCCAGAGGAAACCACACTTCTGATGTGGTTTGAAATATTTTAAATATTTTCATAATTCAGATCATATTGTATGTATGCATTTACAACTTGCTTCTTGGCTCAATGTTTTTAGAAATTTATGGTGAAATGTGTAGACCCAATGCATTCACTTGAACTGCTGAATGGTATTTACTTTATTGATCCATTCCACTATTGATGGATATTTTAATTATTTCCAAATTTTCACTATCACAATTGGTGAATGCTGAAATGTACAAGTGCAAGAATTTCTCTAGAGTATGTCTGGAAGGGATTTCAGGATAACAGGTGAAAGCAAGAATTGTCTTGGGCAACCTAGAGATAAGGCATACACATCTTCAGTTTGTAGGCATAGTCAAATGTTCTGCAGAGGGGGTAATGCCATTTTAACTGAGACTGTCAGTGTAGCTCCCATTTCTCCACCTGACCTACTAGCTCTTAAAGATACAAGTATCTCATCTGCCTGCAGCCTGGATATACACTGGCTACTAATTCAAAATCATTTGGTGGGGGAGAGCGATAGGTAAGATGCTAAATTTTGTAGGTAGCATCTGTGGTCGGAGTTTTATAGCTGCTGAGACCATGTGGTCAAACTTTCCCCTTTATAATATATGGGAAAAATTATCTGGATGGGTTATATGACTTGCCTAAGAGCACATATCTATTTAATGGTTGAAACAAGATGAAAACCCAGGATGACAGTTAATTCCTAGCCTAAGTTTTTTCCCATTAAATGATTAGAGCCATTTAAAGCATTTTGCTATCTCTTCCCTTTATATT